GACGGACGGGCCGGGGGCTGTGCGCAGCGGGGCTCTGCCGGCCGGGGCCCGCCCGCTGGTCAGCGCCCTCATGTTCTCCGCCGGGCTCCTGGGCAACCTCCTGGCCCTGGGGCTGCTGCTGCGCTGCCGCCGCGGCCCCCGCGCCCGCCCGCCTTCCCTCTTCCACGTCCTGGTGCTGGCCCTGGTGGTCACCGACCTGCTGGGCACCTGCTCCGTCAGCCCCTTCGTCCTGGCCTCCTATCACCGCAACTGCACCCTGACCGCCCTGGCCCAAGGAGGACACATCTGCCTCTACTTCGGCTTCGCCATGAGCTTCTTCGCCCTCGCCACCATGCTCATCCTCTTCGCCATGGCGCTGGAGCGATGCCTGGCCCTGGGGTGGCCTTACTTCTACGAGCGCTTTCTCAGCCCCCGCACGGGCTTGGTTGCCCTGCCCGCCATCTACGCCTTCTCCATGGCCTTCTGCTCCTTGCCGCTGGTGGGCTTTGGGCGGTACGTGCAGTATTGCCCCGGCACGTGGTGCTTCATCCAGATGCACCTGGACTACCTCCAGCAAAACGGCAGCAGGGAGGTGTCCAGGTTGGACGTCACCTTCTCGCTGCTCTACGCCACCCTGCTCCTCTTCCTCATCCTCTCCGTGCTGCTCTGCAACCTCAGTGTCATTGCCAACCTGGCCCGCATGCACCGCCGTGGGCAGAAGACCCGCCGGCTGGCCACGCTCGAGCAGCCCCGGGTGGCCGGCGGCTGCGGCCGGCACATGTTCTCCATGGCCGAGGAGATCGACCATCTCCTTCTCCTCTCCATCATGACCATCACCTTCGTCATCTGCTCCCTGCCGTTCACAGTGAGTGCGACCGCCTCTCCCCTGGGGTGGGGTCCCTCTCCCCAGCATCCCCATTTCATCCCCACTCCACTGCCCAAACATCAAGGGCTGAGGTCAAAGCTTAGCTCCTCCTGAAGCTCCGGAGACCCTGGGTCTGCCACAAACTCTAGGCAATTTGCACATCCCGTGGGAAACCGGGAGAATCACCCCCCGTATCCCGAGTGCTGGCAGGATGACGGGGTGGCAGAAGGATGGGGTGGCAGGAGGACGGGGTGGCAGAAGGATGGGGTGACAGGAGGACGGGGTGGCAGGAGGATGGCGTGGCAGGAGGACGGGGTGGCAGAAGGATGGGGTGACAGGAGGACGGGGTGGCAGGAGGATGGCGTGGCAGGAGGACGGGGTGGCAGAAGGATGGGGTGACAGGAGGACGGGGTGGCAGGAGGATGGGGTGGCAGGAGGACGGGGTAGCAGGAACACGGGGTAGCAGGAGCAGAGGTGCCCTCCCATCCCACAGAGGCCCTGAGGCCAGGCAGCATGGCGCAGGCAGGGTCCGGGGTAGGGGTTCCCTGGACCTCACGGTGTCACTGCGGTTCCCGGGAGCCAGGCACTCATGGTGGAGGTGTGAAGGGTGGCAGAGCAATAAATTAGACATCCAAAGATGGGGATGAAGGAGATGCTGCCGGGCTGGAGACAGTGGACATCTGTGCTGGGCGGCCAGAGTTATCCCAGAGTTCTGCGGCAAGAGGGAAGGATGGAGCTGGAGATGCAGGCAGGCAGCACCGACCTCACCGTTAGACAGAGATCTCCACTCCTCCGCAACAACACCAGGGCATGGGCACAGAGATGGGTGATTGCTGGGAATGGAGATCTGGCACATGGGCCCCAGCGTGCCTCATCCCAAGGGTTGTGCCCACATCCCGTGCCCCGTCTCTGTGCGAGGCTTCCAGCAGAAATACGGGGTTGAAACACCGCAGCCAAGTGAGGAAGGGGGGGAGAGCGAGTCCCCTGACTCTGCCCCGTGCTCTCCCCACCAAAGAGTTGCTTTTCATCCGTCCAAGCCGTATTGCACCAGCAGCATCGTGGACGCCGGAGCACCTCGAGACACTCGGGTCCCCTGCCTGTGTGTGTGAGCCCGCCATGGCGGGAGGTCATTTTGTTCCCGTTAGAAGTGAGCCCCGCCAAGGTTGGGAGCGCAGCCAGCGCTAATTTTGTGCTCACAGAGTTAAATAGACGCTACCTTCCCTTCGTGCGCCCTTTCTTTTCCCAAGGGAAAAGAAAATAACCACAGGCTGCAGCTGAGCCAGGCTGCCTGGGTTTTAAGACAGACAAAAGACAAGCAGTAAAGTCCGGGCACTTGCGAGCATCCTGGGAGCCAGACTCAACATCCTGAGAGACGCTTCAGCTCTCGTCAGTGGGCCCACACATGATGGGTGGCTCTCCCTGTGTCCCAAAAAAGCCTGGTTTTGGGTGTCATGGTCATTACGAAGCAGGACCCCTTGGTGGGGACATGTGGGCAGGGCCCTACGGGTCTGCTGGAGGCAGACGGGATGGGAAAGTGCCGCTGATGGGGATCCCATGGGCCCTGTGGTAGCAGATACGATCTTATCCAAAAGCACAGCCGGCTTTTCTTTTCCCATCGCCCGGCTCCCATGGGGGTTGCGTTTGGGCTGCTTTTTGGCAGCGTCTCAAACCGAGCTGCCGAACGCTGCCAGTACCTCCTTGGTGTGACACTTTCTCTTCTGGCTGGGGCTGCCCACAGCAGCCACCCTCCGAGGAGCAGCCCAGGCACGTGAACCCAGAGAGCATCAGGCTGCAGCACCACAAAATCCTTCCCAAAAAAAACCCCAAGCCCAGGGCAGCCCTCGGAAGTGCTGCGCTCTCGGTAGCCCTGGGTACCAACTGCGCCGGGGCCACCTCGTGCCCAGGGATGCACCAGCCCTAGGTGGTACCCGACAGATCCTAGCCGGAGGAGGGATGCTCGTGCCTCCCGCGCCCCCAGCTCCCGTCCCCATCCAAGCATCCCCTCTCCCCCAAAGCGAGGGGGTGGTGATTCGACCCGTGTGAGTAAGGAGTGCTGAGTCACCCTTCCAGGAAACCCCGTAAGCTGCTATGAGTCGGCACATTGCAGGAAGGACCGGAGCGGTCCAGCACCCGGCATCCTGTCCATCTTGCACGTTTATTTGTCCCGGGTGGTTTTCAAGGTGAGACCCACCGCTTCCTCGAGCAGTCGCTGGCTTGATTGCGTTAGGGCTAAACGAAGCCTCACTGCGTGCTGAGAGCAGAGCACAGGCCTGGCTTTCGTTAGCAAGAAGTTCATTTGAACTGGTGGAGGCAGAAAGTGTGATGTGACAGCCCAAATCTCCCCAAGAAGCTACCCAGGGGCCGGCTCCTGGAAGCCCAAACCCGGCATTATTTCTCCCTGTCGTGTTTTACAGATCCGCGCCTACGTGAACAAATTCAGCGAGGAAGAGGACAACCACGACTGGGACCTCCTAGCCCTGAGGTTTCTCTCTATTAATTCCATCATCGACCCTTGGGTCTTCGCCATCCTGAGGCCGCCGGTCCTGCGGTTCATGCGCTCTGTGCTGTGCTGCCAGATGACCCCCGCGAGCCAGGACAGACAGACCTCGTCCCCCGCGAAGAAAAAACTGGCAGCACAGCTGGGCCCCTGTGGGCAGTAGATCCATCGGCCTTTCCAGGAGACATCTGCCAGGCTGGGGTGAAGCACAGCCTTGGCAGATGTTAATGAAGCTCTGCCTTATGGCCCATGAAGAGACGTATCTGCTGCAGGGTGGGCCAGGTACGGCCAGGTGTCACCGTGTGTCTGGGAAGGCCCTGGAAAGCCAGTGCGGTCTCTCACAGGGCAAAAAATACTGTGGGACAGGATCGGAAGGGCTGATGAGTACCTGGGTATCGCTGTCGCCCTTAGACAGGGCTGTTCCCACCCAGCAAAGGGTGCAGGCTGTGCTTGGCCACGTTGTGGGAGGGTCGGGGGATGAAGCGCGGGGGGCTTTGCTATAACACTACTGCTGTGGGGGCAGTGTTGGGGAGCAGAGCTTCCTGCTGCTGTGCTTCCCAGCAAGGTCCCCACGGTCGTTTCACACTGAAGGCAGTGTGCAGGCAGGGCTACGGGTCCTGGAGATGGGGCTGGGTGGCCACCGTTGCTGCAAGCACCCGTCTCTGCCCCCAGGTCCCTAGGGATCGGGTAGGAGAGGAAGGGAGCAGTGTATCCCCAAATATTCCCCTTTATTTGGTAGGCTGGTTGCCTAAAGAAATGCACTTTATTGGGTGTAGATCTGTGTGCATGTGTCTGTCTGTCTGTCCCCCGTCCCCAGAGATTTTAGGCTCCGGTGGGTGCCAGCCCAGCATGTCTGAGGGGCACCGGGGCAGAAAAAAAGCCAAATTGTGGCACTTCCCTTGCGCTGTGATGGCCAGCGGAGCTGTGTGGCTCAGGAGAGCACCCATTTTGCAATTTTCTTTGCCCCGTAGTTTGTGCGGGAGCCAACAAAGGAGTCGGAGAACGGGAGGTTTCGGTCACAGCCATGTGCTTTACCCACGTGCAGGGCAATGCTGCTGATGGGTTTTGCGTTGGCACGGAGGAGGGCTCGTCCTCGTGGGCTGCCTGACCAAGAGCCTTTGCTCCTCCTCCTGCCAGCCTGGGACAAACCTGCTCAGGGGCACCGCTTCTCTAGAGGTTTTGTTTGGGAAAAAAAACAAAACACAAACCTAAACCCAACAAAACCAAAAAACCCAAGTGCAGAAACCTCCAGGTCATCAACCCTGCCCCATCAGGCAGCATCCTTCAGCGCCGCTGTTTTCTTTTGTGGGATGCGCCTGTTGCTCTTCGGGGCTCTGGGCTGGTCCCCACCGGGGTAAGGAGCATCTGACCCCGCGGGTGAGCTGGGTTTGTCCCGAGGCCATCGCTGCCATTCGGGGTTGCCGGGAGGCTCGGGGCTCCCGTTCATGCAGCAACCAACAAATACGGTGTCGTTATGCTATTGCGAGTGGGGCGTCTCGTTGTCCCTTTGAGAGCTGCAGCTCAGCTCAGAAAGCCCAAAGGTGCCGAGATGTGGAGCTTTTCTGTGGTTCATTAGCTGAGGTGATGTAAAAAAACCCCAAACTATTATTTAAATAATAAATACCTCTCCAATGAGCCTGCTGAATTGTGTGTGGATTTGTGCTGAAGATGCACCTCAGGGTAGATCTGGCTCCCGGAGGAAACGTGTCACCTGCCTGGAGCATCGGTGGGATGAAGCCTCGGGGATGGAGGGAGAGGGCAGGAGGGGAGGCTGAGAGGGGAAATGTGTGCCTACAATTTCCTAAAAAGTGAAAACAAACCATGTTTTCTAGATGTGTATGACATTTTTGCCTTACCTCTGCAACCTGGCCCCCGAGCTACAGAAATACCCTCACCTCTGAGCTCTTCCCTAAAACTTGTATATCCCGAAGCCAGGGAGAGGCAGACGAAGCTCCTACCTGTTATCAAAATGAAAAAAAAACCACACCCACCCTAAAAAAAGGCAGAATTTATGTCACTTCTGTCAGGCAGCCAATATCCACAGGAAGTTTACTGGCCTCCGAAATGTGTGTGGGCAGATGTCAGGCATGGGCTGCTATTGCTCAAGCTCTGCCGGCGGGTTTCTGGCGGTGCCCTGTGGCTGGGTTGCATGTGGGGCTGCAGCTGGGGCGCTCCCCACACTGTCGCATAACTCATGCAATTAAGTCATTAACCCTGTCACTGAGCCCTGGGTTTCCAGAGTCGGCAGACTCCCACGTGCCGCTCGGAGGTCGCGGTCACCCCCTCCCCAATTATTTCCCCGTCCGTGCACACAGCAGCAGCAAAGGCACTTTCTGGGTTCAGGGCTTGTGCACCCCATTGTGCCTCAGCAGGTGCTTGGCTTGAAAAGGAGCCAAAAGCTTCGGGAAGAGCCGTGGGTCTGTGCACTTTATTTGTCTGGATGGTCGTGACCTGGTTGCTCACGCTGGAATTTTGGGACCAGTTGCTTAATCCTCTTCTAAGCCAGAGGAAAAGGCTGTCTGGCATGCAAAAGATGGAAAGAAAAGAAAAAAAAACCCGTCACGTTGGAAATGGCAGGGGGGAGTCACGTCCCGCAGAGAGCAGCCTGCCGAGGCGTGTGACAGCGGTGGGAAGAGGAGCCAGGGCCATCCATGGCAGCACGGGGGACGACCCGAAGGCGGGATGCTCCCAGCGGCTCTCACTCCAAGGATCCGCTCCCGCCGGCCGCCAGCTTGGCTGCTGACCACTAATTGCCGGCTGCTTGTTTTTTTGGGAGGTTTATGGCCCCTCATCAGGAAACACGGGGCTGGGAGACAACCTCCCAGCATCCATCGCGCTGGGATCTGCTTTTCACAGGGTAATGCTGCGGCGGAGTCACTCTCGTGCGAGCTGTCCCCAGTAAGGGACAGCAATCCTGGCAAGCGGGGTCAGGGAAATTACTTGGCTGAAATTCAATGCAAAAATAAAAAAGAGAATTTGGTTGTGAGCTGGGGAGAGGCTTGGCGCATGCAAGGAGAGGAACCCCCCCAAGACCCGAGTCCTTTTGCCGTGATGCATCCTGCAGAGATGGCTCCCTCGCCCGGAGATGCTGTGGGACACCACTCTGCTCGGGGACTGCTCTACACGCCGCTCCTTGGGGAGGGATGTGGTCTCAGCCCCCCGAGCGGGGCGTGCTGGCCGGGCCCAACTTCTGAGCTGCTGGCCATGAGTTACCCCCAGCCGCTGCTGCCCCCCGAGCCCAGAAAACGAAAAAAAGCAATTCATTCTTTCAGGTGAGAAAAGGGTCTTAATTAGAGCTCTGCGAGGACAAGGAGGGCCATGAGTCTCTCTGTTTCCTGAGCCATCAGCCGGCACAAAACACTGCTTTTATTAGCATCACGCAGGAGCCATTACAAAAGCCAAATAAATTTGACTCTCTTCAGCTCAATTGACGTCTGCTCGGCTTAAAAACAAGATGGCAAAGTGTAATTTCGTTATCTGCGCTGACCGTTAATGATTTTTTATTTCCATACTGTGAAGCAGAGCCGGAAACCCGCTGGTGCAAGGAAGCGCCAGGTGGGTCTTTTCATCTGCATTTCCATCTGGAAATCAAGCTGCTGAAGAGGAGCGAGGGAGAAGCCACCCCTGGGGACAAGGGACGGCATCAGCTGCCCACCAGACTTCTTAAAAACGGAGAGGGACTTTCTGCAGCTGCCGGAGGGAGCGGAGAACTGCGGGACCCAGGGGATCGGGACCCTCCCCAGCTGGCTGGAGCAGCCCAGGGGTGGCTCCGAGTTGCGCCCCGCAGCAGCGAGGAGGCCAGCATCTGCCTCTCCTTCTGGGCTGTCTCCCTTAAAAAGAAAAACCCAAAGGGTCCAGGCGGTGGGGCATGGTTTGGATGGGAAATGATGGCGAGGGAATGTAGCGTTTGGGGAAAATGGGCATTTTTGGAGAGTAGAGAAGAAAGGAGGGGAGCTTCCCTCTTGCTCGCTCCTTTTCTGGCTTGTTTGGAACATCTCCTCTGGATCTGTGTGCTGTCAGCACGGAGTGAGCCCTCATTTTTCGGCTGCTTTGGCCTCTTGGTTGAGCCCGAGTGCTTTGGCCACGGCTCTGCCGGGGGCCACGAAAGCCCCACAACCCCATTCGTGGGGGTCAGCAAACGTGGGCAACATTTGGGGACAGCCTGCAAAGGTGGGTGATGTGACGTGCTGCGTGCGGCACCGCGGCGGAGCCCCGGCATCCCTGCGGAGCGCCTCTGGGATTGCCTGTCCAGTCCTTCGGGAGGCTGGCAGGAAAGCGGAGCCCCGGGAAGAAGGGGAGAGCCAGGTGGGAGGCAGCTGCCCTGCCGAGGCGGCTGCGTTTCCAGGCAAAGGACGGGCAGCCAGCCCGTCTCCCCGGGCTCCAGAAGGGCGTGCGGCGCGATAGCTGTTAAACCGGATTAAATGAAGGAGGCAAGGAAGTGACTTCAGGGAAGATGGCGTGGCTGGGCTCCCAAACCAGCTTTGCAGCAGTGCCAGGGCTTACCTCAGCATCAGATGCCGGAGCTGATGGCAATTCCCCACGGCTCGAGCGCGGGGAAAAGAGGAGAAGCATTCGGCTTTACCGTAGCTGCCTTTTGCTTTTGCAGCTGGTTTTGGATCTCTGTATCCCCGTGTATGAATGTGAAACCCTTCCAGCTCCTCTGGGCCCCTCGGGTCACCCCATGTCTCCCATTTCCCTGGATTCACTGGGTCCCTTTTTGGTCACCGGGAACTAACACTGTCCTACAGCGGCCCCAGAGGGGAGAGCTTGCAGTTTAAAACAGGCCGTATTTTAGTTTACAGCCCGGTAAGCAAGGGCATCAGCCCTTTCCAGGAAGGCTGCTGGGGTACCCCAAACATCATAGGCATAAAATCAGAGCCTGCCGCCCAACAACCAAGACCCAGAACAAGTAATTCGTGGCCCATCCCCTGTCATTACCACAGCGGGATTACCAGACCTGGGAAGCAGCAGGGCTGTAGCAGGGTTACCTCTGCAGCCACATTTTCAGGCTTTTTTTGCAATGTACGAATAATAACAATTCTTTTCATTCCAGCTTTTCGGTTCAGCATTGCAGGAGAGTGAAGGTCTTGTCTGAGTTTTTCCTGAAACCGGCTGAATTGCTGGTGTTTTATCTGCTCTGGGGATTTGCCGGTTCCCGGCACG